TGTTCAAAGTCACTGATTACAACTCGATCACTGCTGTCAACAGCCACATAACGAGTTTTAATCTTGACTGGGATGGTGCTTCTGAGTTCGCCATCAGTGGGGCTGTGTTCGGTCAGCACCATTCTCTCGATGTCACCTACCACAATGGTCCCATCCGTCTTGACTGCTACACTCCGGAGGTCCACTGCGGTCTTACCGCCCTCACTCGGTGGCACTGTGGGGAACTGGAAAGCCAGCGTATTGTCCTTGTCAAAGACTTTCACGTGAGATGTGTTCTCCTCAACAACCGCTAAGCGATTGCCGGTGCGTGTAGCTGCAACGCCACATGGCCCTGTTTGGAGTTGAAAGACAAAAAGAAAAGCATTAACCAACCAACCACGTTCATGAAGAGTTATAAAGCCAGAGACACAGGATCAACACTTGTCCTTTCTTCGACAAAATAAATTCCCGGGAACCTGGAATTATTTATTATGAAGCAATCAATATGAAGTTCTTGGAAGAAGTGACAAAAAATGGCTAAACGTTTCGCTACGTCCATGCATAGCAAGTGAACAAGAATTCATGTAGAATGTATATTGAAGCCTCCCCCTCCCTGTCTAGCGAGTCGGTGGAATTTGGAATTTTTCCTTCCCTCACGACAATAAGCCCAGCCGGAGCCCCTTCTCAATCTTTGTTGTTGCCAGGCTTGCGTTAAAATATTCGTAATATTAATACACAAGAACACTCGGTCGTGTGGCAACGAACTTTAGGAAAAGAAAGTAAATTTTCCATCAAAATAAGGAGCAAGAGGGCGTTCTCCTCGTTACCGCCCACTACCTGTGCTGCATAGTATTTAAACATGGACGAATGAACGCTGGCAAATAGATACTTCACAAAAACAGAAATGCACTTTGAGCCTTTACGGGAAGAAACGTTGATCATGAACCATTGTGCAGATGCAACGTGTCCAACATTTGTTGCAGTGAATTCGAAGCGCATATCTGTTTTGTTGTTATGTGACATATTTGCCTGAATGTTTACAAAAATGTTGGATCCGGAATTGAGGTTCACTGGGTTTGTTTTTAAGAATCCGGGTATTGTACAATTAAGCCGCCGTGTAATCTTTTTGGGGAGAAAAAATTCTCTAAATAAACTTTACTGCAATATCTGGAAAAATGAATATGTCAATCATTTTTTTATCTTAGAGCCTCCTCCGTCTGGGTACCATGTGACTCTGCCAAAAGCCTTTAGATTTGTTATGTGGCTTGACACCAGTGGTGTATCCAGCGCGGCAACTTGCCCCCAACCGACGGGTTGTTTAGCCTGTTTGTTTTAGATTACGTCATAGGTGAGTAGGAAGAAAGTAATCAGTGTATTTACAAGTATTTATCAAACATGAACAAACCCTTAGAAATTGAAGCAAGGGAGTTGGGACTGTGAGTAGGCCTAAGACTTTCGACATTTTTTCTCCCTACCATCATGTTGAAAAAAATTTTTCCTTTCGAATTTGCCCCCAACACACACATCAGGCAGAATACACCACTGTTTAACATCGTAATTCCAAATTAAATCACAAATTTATTGATGATAAACAAAGCACCAGTGTATCGTTTGTTAGTAGTTTCTATCCAAACTTACTTTCTTCCATCGGGATTGTGCTTTTCTGGTTACCATCGATGCTGCAGATCACAACTCGTTTGTTCAAGTAGTCAGCCACTGCAACCTCATCAGGCTGACGAGCAGCAATGCCACAAGCCCAATAGAACTCTCCTGGATCGCTTCCCTTGCTACCAAACACACATCGCTGCTCGAACTTTCCTTCCGTCACCACCTTGCCCAGACTGAGGTCACCTACGCCCCCACTCGGCTTGAACTTCAGAAATCCAAGCCTCTTGTCAACTCTTGGAATAGTTTGACCTGCCAACAATTTCAAGTCTTTGTTGATTGCTGCGTAGAGTGAGAGGAACTCACTATCCGCTGCCGTCCTTGTCACCTCTCTTGCTGTCCCCAATGAATGCTGTATTCTCTCCGATGCCAAACTCATTGTTTTCTCACATTCGGCCAGTTGTTGCAGACGATCGCTTTGGATATTTGTGATTTCATGGATGATGCGATTTTCTTGAGCAGTGG